ATCATGAGATATCAGTGTGAAAGTTGGTTAATTATGCAAATTAGGTGATTAATATGCACAAATATTTACCGGAAACTAATTGGGTCTGCATAATTCTAGATTCATTGAAATGTGATGATTAGTACTTTAGATATCAGTAGAAAAGCTGAAAATTAATTATGCAAATTAGGTAATTAATATGCACAATTATTTACCCTAAAACTAATCAGGTCTCTGCATAGTCCTAAAGGATCTATGTACCAAGTTTCATTGAAATGTAATGCTAACTACTTGTATCAAATGCTGAACATTAATTAATTATGCAAATTAGGTAATTAATATGTACTGATATTACCATAAAAACTATCAGGTCTGTGCAGTGTCGTATGACATCTATGTACCAAGTCTCATTGAAATGTGATGATTAGTACTTGAGATATCAGTGGAAAAACCGAGAATTGACTAATCATTATGCAAATTAGGTAATTAGTATCCATGGATTATTACCAAAAACTAATCAAAACCTAGCATTAGTGCAGAGCATCTATGTACCAAGTTTCATCAAAATCCAATGAGTGGTTCTTTAGATATCAGTGGAACAGTCATAGAACAGCTAAAAATTAGCTAATTATCATGCAAATTAGGTAATTAACGAGCATGGATTTTTACCAAAACCTAATCAAATCTGCGCATTGGCCCAGAGCATCTATGCACCAAGTTTCATCAAAAACCGATGTATGGTTCTTGAGATAGCAGTGGAACAGTCGGACACACATACACACATACACACACACATACACACATACACACATACACACATACACACATACACACATACAGACACACTAACTGCAAAGACTCCCATTTTGTGCTTCGCACATGGGAGTCAAAAACTGATTGTACATCACCACACGTCCTAGCCTAGCAACAATTTTATATTATATGGAATTTACTATTGTGTGATGATATTACTAATATTTGTGCTTGAAATTCCACACATGTATTAAAGCGTGACTTAAAGCGTCACCAGACTAGCTCTTAGACATTATTCAATCCAATTATGAATCTATTCAAAGTATCGTACCTGAATCATGTCGCTTTGGTTTCCGCTTTCGCCCAATACTGACTTCATCATCGGAACTGCTAGAAGATTCAGATTCAGATTCACTTGCGTATCCAGCTGAGAAAAGCAAATTTAACTTCACATTAAATGACTGGTCACCACCTGGAGTTCTCACTCAAAGGAAAATCAATTGTGAAGCATGAATAAAATTACAGCGAGCTTATAACACAGTCACTCAGTTCTCTATACAGTAGAAGTGCATTCACTTATATATAATTAGGCTCCATTAAAACAATTACTGTATTTTCTCTATGTGCATATATGCGCACATTAATATGATCCCTTAAAAGTGTTCATCATGTGTTAGTGTACTTAGAATCCAACTGAAAGATAATTGGTTTGCTCCAGTATGCATCTCTATCATATTAGCTTCTTTTATAGAGAAAATGCAGTAGGTCATTTCTACTACAATTATTAACTAAATGGCTTTCATTTTAATATATCGTATATATTTAGACATTCAAGTTGCACTAAAATTAAGCTTACGAACAAAATTTTGTACGTAAATATTTTTCTGTAATTTTCTATAATCTCTCTGTTAATTTCGCATCAAATGTTCACAATTTCCAATTTGCTATAGGTTTTCTTAAAATTTTTAAAAAAAAAAAAAGGAAAAAAAAATTATTTTGCAAATAGTGAAATTTGAGATTTTGGCACTTCAACACATTGATAAGAGCCACCTTTTGCGTGTAAACACAGGCAGCAGATTAATTTAAATGTATTTGGAAATTCAATCAGAAAGGATTACAATTGTGTTATGTATAAAAGCCAAAATAAAATTAAAAGCAACAAAAAAATACATGAAAGAAAACATACATGAAAGAAAACTTACATTACACTAACACCAAGGTCATCAAGGAATATGCAAATAATACAAACCGTTTGGCTTACTTTAAAATGAAAGCCAAATTAAAAAAAAATCTGGTTGGCAAAAAATACTTCACAACAGGAGCAGAGTGAGGGACCAATCAGATTTAGTTTTATTGAAATGAAACATACTTGTAGGGTCCCTACCCCGTGACCAGGTGTTGTAGTTCCTACCACCTCCTGGTTTACGATTTCTTGTCTTTGCTTCGATTCGCCTGCCCCCAACAGTCTGATATTTCTGTGTATCCATTTTCTTTTCCGGTAGACAGTATTTTGGAATACTTTTAAAAAACCATGCACCAGATCTTTTCCACATCTATAACAATACAATGACAATTGATTGTCATTGGTGCATCACTCACTGTGTCTGTATGTGATTCTCACATGTCACTCACTGTGTCTGTATGTGATTCTCACATGTCACTCACTGTGTCTGTATGCGATTCTCACATGTCACTCACCGTGTCTGTATGCGATTCTCACATGTCACTCACCATGTCTGTATGCGATTCTCACATGTCACTCACCGTGTCTGTATGTGATTCTC